AAAAAAAAAAAAAAAAAAAAAAAAGTAAAAAAACCAAAAAGTAAAAACAATGATACAAAATTTTAAAACAATAGAGTAACAATGGTTAATGCATTGGGTGTAGTTATCTCCAAAGTAGTTACTCAGATCACACGATCTAACTATGAAATACTGATGGAAAAATATATACGATCTAACTATGAAATATTGATGGAAAAATATAAGCACAGACCTTTCTTTTCCTTTTTTTTTGTTGTTGTATTTTTTAGTAAGGGTCTATGGGGTCTCACTACGTGGATTGGACGTAGTGATTTGCCTGTGCCCAGCCTCCCAAAGAGCTGAGATCACGGATACATGCCACCACGCTCAGTCTCAATCGCCCTCTCAGCATGCCCCAGGGGCAGGGCCAGCATGGCAGGCTCAGGGATTGAAGCAGCCACCTTAATCTGCTGAACTATTTGGCCAGCCCTAACAGACCTTTCTTTTCAATGAACTAAAATAAATTAGTATAATTATCTTGTGTGTGTATCTGTGTGTATTTTATTTATTTGTATATTTTCCCCTCATTTCACTGAACGCTGTGCATGCTTTGTGGACATTTTACTCCTAAGGTTTTAATTTCCCCCCACATCCTCATGATTGCACTCTTTCAAATACAGACCTGCTGTCAGCCAAACTTGGCTTGCATGCAGCCTGGCCCAGTTCACCAAGATGTGACCGGACACCTTGAGCAAACTACTTCATAGGGGTTCAACCTCACTTTTGCGAAGTGAGGCTAATGGAGATGTTAACTAGCACATAGGTATGTGTAAATTAATTTAGCAGTTTCTGGGAAAGTACTTAATACTTGCCACTTAAATGTATTTGAAAGACTGCCATAAATTAATTTATTTATGATTTTATTATCTTGTGGTTTGGTTCTTTCCCAAGAGCTTGAATTCATAATTGTTTGCCTTATCTTTCTAACCCTGCTCAACTTGTCCAGACTTGAACTCATCTTTCCTTTATTTTATTTTTTTTTTTAATTGAGTGGGGCAGGGATTGGTATCATCTATCCACTATAGTTAGAGACTTACTCCTTAGATACCTTTCTTTCAGCTCCTTTATTTTCAGCAAGGTCTTCCCCTTTTATCACCATCCCTAGACCTCTGGCTGGTATGACTTCTTACCTGGACATAGGACTAAGAGCCAGTCATGATGTGCACAGGTTGTATGCAGAAGTTAAGGAGAAAGGAAGTTTCTCAGATGTTCTTTTCACTTTCTGATTTGGTAAATAGTACAAAGCTTCTCTTTGTTTAGAAAGAACATTATTATGGGCACCAGGGTTATATATTCAAAAGTGAAAAAGATACTTTATCAAGCCCCTTTATTCAGGTAATTTACAACTACTTTTCCTCTTAAGACCTATCAGGAAATCAAACTACAAAATATATACAAAGCTTAAATGACCTAGACTTAACCTTCACTAAAATAGAGTGGTGATTGTGTCTTCAGAATGAACAAGACTAGGGTGTCCTCCTGCTTACGCCTAAGGTTTTAATTTCCCCCCCACATCCTCACGATGGCGCTCTTTCAAATACAGATCTGCCATCAACCAGATACAAACTTTTTTCCTCCGGACAAGGGTTCTGCACTGGTGCTCTTAAGATGCCAATGCCTTATGTTCTTAACCACCGAAAGTTGGCTAGCTATTGGTTTTCCAGTTTGGAATCTTACTTTGGCCTGCCTTTGGCATCTGGGAGTAGCAGTAATGAATAGGTGTTACTTACCTAATAAGTGAGTCTGTCTTATGCTGTGTATCAGGAAGGCCAGGGCAAAGCCCTCATGTCTGCTTCACTCTCTGTCCTTAACTTGAAATTTTCTCATTTTGTTTCTATATTGACTTGAAGACACTAAAATTCTCTCCCAATGTCTATTTCCTTTAGTTAACTGAGATGGCATAACCTGTATTATTTGCTTAAGCCCATGCCATGGATCACACACTGTGGGGTTAAGTCCTGTTACTAGCATCCACATAAGACTCTGTAAATACCCCTCTCAAGTAAAACAAAATCCCTAGAAATTCTCCAGTGCCCTCTTTTCATTATTACCTGTAGTATCAGTTAATTGGGTTGAATCAGCAAGAACACTGGAGGAGACCTATACACAAGAAGGAGCTCCCTCACCAGCTCATTCTGAGTGATATGAGTGAGGGGACTGGGTCAGCCTCAGCGGCCCATTTTGAAACCAGAACATACATTATTAGCAGAGTTGCTTTTATTTAACAGTAGACAACAATAAGTAGACAACAATAAGGCCTTTTTTAAGGCAGTAACAACAGGGGAAAAGAAGAAAAAAAGATCTGAGCCTATCAGAGCAGTGGACCCTTCGTCCCTCTGGTACTGCCCTAGCTTATCCTGACCTTCACAGACAAACTTTATAAGAGAATCTGTGAGGTAGTCCCACTTCTTTCATCCTACCACTGCACTGGAAATTGAAGCCACTAACTTCAACCCCTCCCACTCTGGTATATCAACTCTCATCAAGGTTATCAGAGACTTCTTTGTTGCTATGCCAGCAGATTGTGCTCAGCTCTTCCTACGTGACCTCTAGCAGCATCTGGAAATTTTCTCCTGAAGATTTCTGGGTTGCCACTTCTCTGCTTCTCAGTGTCCCTGTAGGCTGTTCCGTTCATCTCCTACGTTCATTTTTTGCTAACTTCATTCCATTCCCGCTGCTTCCTCTGCAGCATCAGTGGTGATTTTGCCCACCCCCTGAAGTTGAAACTACCAGGGGCCGGGGAGATGGCTCAGTAGAATAAGTGCTTGCCTGGCAAGCGCAAGGGCCTGAGTTCAATCCCCAGTTCCGCAAAAAAAAAAAAAAAAAGATGAAGTTGAAACTACCATTTATGGTGGTGGTGTGCAGATCCTATGCTCCAGATGTGCACAAACTATGCCACACCCATTGTCAGTTAAAAGGCACTTGGATTCAATTGTCCATGACTAAACCATCCAAGCCATCTTCAGATTTCCTTTTTTCCTGTATCTTCCAAATAGTAAACAGTACTCATTACCCTCCAGGTTGGTCAAGCAAACAACCCAGGACTTTTGGTCCACCACTCTGATAGGCTCAGATCTTTTTTTCTTCTCTCCCCCGGTTGTTACTGCCTTAAAGAAGGTCTTATTGTTGTCTCCCCTGGATTATTACAGCATCCCTCAATGAATCTCCCTTCCTCAAGACCTAACCCTTACTAATCCATTATCCACCCTGCACCCAGGACCATTTCTGAAATGCAAAGCAGATCCTGTCACTCTGTGCTTAAATTTTCTCATTAACACCCCATCCTCTTAGGATGTCTTACATGCTCTTAACATGTCTTCCAAGGCCCTTGATTTCCTTATTCCTAAATATGCCTGTCATTTCATCCATCCACTAACAAGAAGTTGCCGAGTTCCTACGGTCTGGGCTGAACCTTAGGGCCAGGAGTGCTCAGGGTACCTGCAGGTGTTCCTTGCCTTGAGGAACATTCAGTCTGATGAAACAGACTGGACTCAGAAAAGTTATATAAATATATACCAATAAAGCAGGGTGAGCTAGAAATGTAACCCCACCTTCTCAAGTAGGAAGCACCTCTACGTATTTCTCACTTTTTAAAGAAGTTGAAGTATTGAAAAGAAATACAAGACTTTCACAGAAACGAAAGCTTAGTCCTCTGAGGTACATTACCACTGCAAGCAGTTGCCCGAGTTCACTGTTAAGATCTTGATCTGTATGTCTTAATAAAAGGCATCACATTCTGAAAATGGGACATTATTTATTAATCTAATCCCTAAAGAGTTTTGTTATCAGCAACTAAATTGATCAATAACTTCTTATTCAGAGAGAGGAGTGATTCCTTAAAGTGGAGAACTAGAGATCCTTGCTAATAACTTCACCCCTGCAAAGCATGGTTTAGGAGGTGGCCCAGAGACTAAGGGCCTTAGGTTCCAGGCATCTTTAACACCTCTTAGGGTGGCAGTGGTGGTGGAGGAGGGGAGGATTCTACAGTCATTGGTAATGAAGTTAATGCTTAACAGATAGTGCTCTATTATATAAATCCTGGCTGGGACCTCTCCTTTTTCTTCTTGTATATCTCCAGGGAAGAGGAAAATATTTTCCCACCATAGAGTTTATAGAGCTGTACAGTATCAGTAGTCCTGAGGACCTATGATCCTAACACTGTGGCTACTTACTGCAGGGCTCATGGAGAAGTATCAGAAGAAAAGGCTGTTTTTCTGAGTGCATCTCAAACTTAACAGCACACCTGGAACGCTCTATGGAGCGAGTACCACTTGGAGCATGGGTGTTGGGGGACACAGGTGAGAGTGTTCGCCAGTATTCCAGTGTAGGCATGCAGATGGCGCGATCACCACTACCTCACACATCATCCCCAAGAGTGTCTGGAAGGATGGGAGACCGTGCAGGAAGTCAGGCGTGGAAACACATGCTCGTAATCCCAGTATTCAGAGGCTCAAGCAGGAGGATCTCTTAAAAGCCTGAGAGGGAAACTCCCCATATCGTGTCAGTAAAGAGGCAGCTGCGAGCTGTGAGGAATATATCTGACCTGGATACACTAGCACTGCCAAGTAGATGGTTAAAAGGATGATCATTCCTAAATTCTAACTGCCGTGTTGCAATAAATGGAGGGAAGAGCATTCACCAGGTTTAAGAGATAGTAGGGTGGGGCTGGTGAGATGGCTCAGTGGTCTAAAGCATCTACTTGGAACAAGCTTAGCAGAGCACAGGGACCACGGTTCAATCCCCCAGCACCACATGCCAGCCAGCCCCGCCCCCTGGTGGGCTGAGCTGGCCACACATACACACAATAAATAAATGTAATAAAAATAAATAAATAATTAAAAAAAATAAATAAAGTATGTGCCTGGAGTAAACATGGTATTAAAAAAAAAAAAAGAGATAGTAGGGTGTGAAGAAGAGTGAAGTACCCCCTTGGGACATTTTTGTTTTCAGTCAAGGAGACATACGAGCTTCTCTTGTGCTCCACATAGCCTCTGACCAGCAGTTAGGGATGGTGACCTCTGCTCGCTCCAGTGTGAAGGTTTTTCTAGGTGACGCTGGGCTGCTCTTCTCTAGTGAGCCCAGGGAGTTGCAAGCGGAGAGTACTCACCAGGAAAAAGTGAAGCACAACCATCCATCCCCATCCTCCATCAGGGGTTTGATTATAAGGTTGGGCCTTCCCCGCTCTCTTCAGCATGGTGTTTCAATCACACAGAAGATCCCTGTGATGAATCCAAGACAGTTGAGTCCCTTATCATGAAACTGATCTGAACTGTGCTATAAGCCCACTTCTCTGTAACATTTTCCCGCCCTGCCCTACTACAGTGGCATCTCCCTCAAGCAACTAAAGACTAATGTTTAGGATTCTTTCCTTCCACACGGATCTCCAGAGCTGCAAGCCAGTTCTAGTGAAAGCTGACTGGGCAAGCTCCAGAGTGCAGAGAAATGAGGGAGGTTGAATCCTTGGGTTTAGGCCTCTTCAAAGTACTTGCAAAGTTGCAGCTATTGTGAGGAACTGAACAGGCAATAACATGCAAGACCTGTTCCTTAAGGGGATTCTGATTAGAAAAGATGGGAGGACAGTTGGGAAACCGGAATATCAGCTAATAGTGTGTTGTGGTGAGGGTAAGTCTTGGGTAGAACGGTGGTCTTGGGTCTGTAGGAAACTTATTTAGCAGTGCTACAGTTTTGAGCAGGGAATTGTCAGAGGTGGCTGCTGTCTTCTCACGCAGCATTCCCTGCTCACTGTTAGCTTGCAGGCGGGCTGCTTTTTCTGGAAAGGCGCATACTGGCCGGCAGCGTGCCCTGGCTGTCCTTAGAGCAGGCTGGAAGCAGAGATGCGGGTCGCGGCAGGCCTCGGAGAAAAGACCCCACACGCCGTCCCTTTTCTGCCTTACCTTTGACGTAGTTTCCAGCAACGGATTCTCACATACGGTAATGGCAATTTAGGAGCAAGCAAAAAAAAAAAAAAGTGATGTTAGAATGCTACCCCTTTTCTAAGGCGTTTCTTTCCGCAGCCTGGGAAAAGCAGCGAGCGCGGCAGAGCCGGGGCAGGGCGGTTCGGGCCCTCGGGCTGCGGCTTGACTTCCCGACGGGAAGAGGAAAGGCTGAAACTTGAGAGCGCCTCAGGCCCGCCCCCACCCGGCTTACTGAAAGGTAGAGATTTTGTCTGTAGGGTCAAAAGTAATTGTTGAGTAAACCAAGGGGAAAATCCTTTCGGTGAGCACGCTCAAGGCTGGGGGATGGGACCCAGGATGCCGGCGAGCGCCACGAGACTCCCGGGACAGGCTTATTTGTAAGAGAAGTGTTCATTTCCGAGGCCACACAAGTAATGGCTGAGCTGGGGTGTAGCTTGGAGGTGGAGTCGAGTCCTTCCAGGCCCGCGTTCGCCCGAGGTTTGATCCACTTACGCACACGCGGCACTTTTCCTAAATTAAGGTTGTGTGCTGTTTTTCGTCGACTGAAGATTGTGGTTACTAATGTGGAGCTTCCAGCCACATTTTAATTGCTTTATTTATTTGCGGTTCCGGGGATTGAACTCAAGACGGTGGGCTTGCCAGGCAGGCACTTAGGCCGCTGAGCTATATATACCTGGCCATTTTAATTGCTTTTTTGTTGCCTGCCTACCTTAATTTGAAACACCTCCCGCAAGAGATGTACCTATTTATGAGTAACTTTTGAGAAAGCTTTTTTCTTACTGCTTTTTTGAAATGATTCAAGGTTGAGTCTCTTAGAAAATTAATGGGATAATTAAACTTTTCTATTCCTATTTGCTTTTGTCTCACCTTCCACATACCAAAAAAATAAATACATAAATAAAAATAAAAAAAACATGAATAATCTCCCCACACCGACAATCTAGAGCCTAAACCAGAGTGTATTTTAATGCCAGCGTTTTTCTTATTTTATCTGGAAAATATTCACATTTATGAATTCCCTTTTTAGAAAAAGCAAGGGGGAAAAACAAAGAGTTTCTCAGTCTTAAAGCCAAGCTCTTTAATCTTTAGTCAAATATTTTTGAATTACAGAGTTTGCAGGACAGTTTAGTCACTTAGGAGGAAGCTCTGTAAAGATAACAGATTATGCATGCTGGTGTTAGGGATCAAACACTGGGCAGAAGGCAAAAATTCATGGAAGGAGATTGTTCTTCACACAGCTTTTCTTTTTTTTTTTTTTTTGCTTCAGGGACTGAACTCAGGGCCTCATGCTTGCCAGGCAAGCACTTATTCCACTGAGCTATCTCCCCTGCCCTAGACAGCTCTTGAGATCTTTTGGCTTTTGAGTTTTTGAGACAAAAACCTTGGTATGCAGCTCAAGCTGGCCTTGAACTTGTGACCCTCCTGCCTCAGCGTCTGTAGCGCTAGGGTTGCAGGTGTACAGTGCTGGGCTTTCTCTGCCAGCCAGCCCTCATTAATCACACACTTGTAAGTTAAACATCTGTAGGACCTGTGTGAGTTCTTGGCAGCACATCTGCAGCTCTTTGTTTTTGGTTAGGATCTCGATGTGTCGCCCAGGCTGTCCTTAAACCCACTATGGAGCCTCAGACTGTACCCGGGTTTGCTGCTCTTTACAAATAGGGTGGGGTGAGACTCTAATGGTAATGTGCAGCTGGATGTGCAGCGCATGCCTACAATCCTAAGACTCAGGAGGCCAAGACAGGAGGATGATGGTGAGGACAAGTGCAGGTTGGCTGTTGCAAAGTCACTTCAAGGCCAGCCTGGACTACCTATCAAAGCTGGTCTCAATAAAAAACAAATGAGCAAACGAAAGCCTGACATGAGAATTTACTTTGTGTGTACTGCTAGATCTGATGCCCCTGGCTGGGGCCAGATTTGCAAAGTGGTAGAAGAGGAAATCATGCAGGGCTTAAGCGGGCTGCAAAAGAATCTAACAAAACCTTCTGCATAAATGTATTAACAGGAAACTAAGGTGTAGTGGAAAGTGTAGATTTGCTAAGAATTGCAACTGCGCATTTTAAGCCTCCAGACCCTTGGTCAAGTTACCTTTTTCATTTCTGAAACTAAAACATGGCTAATCCTATTCTGCAAGGGTGCTTCAAGGAAACAGGACATTGTAAAATGACTCCATATTTACAGTAGTGTTGCTGGTATTTCATGCATTAAAAATTATTTCTGTTAATCAGATGGGGCCTAATTGGAAGAGTAAAAATTTGCTAAACCATTTTGGGAATATTAGTTAACATTTTAGTATCTGGACCCAGTTGAACTAGTAAGCTTCTAGGATCTGTAAAGATAATTCTCTGAGCTGCTCACCTTCTAACTCTTGGCCTTAAGGCTATTTCCTAAGTCAGCACTGTTAGTCTCTGGAATGTCAAATGAGTAACTGTTAAGTGTCTACGATGTTTTCTTGTGGGGGGCTGAACCCTTTTTTCTCCTCTTCCAGTCCTTTTAGACTTTGTAGAAGATCAGCCTCTGGCTGGCACTGAGACTTGGGGGGGTCCTCTGCATTCCCTAAACAGGTGGGCCACTACGCCTAAATGTGTGCAGCACTAGTTTGTACAGAACTGTTGCGCTCCTTCTTGAAGTTTAAGGTAGAAAGTGCTTTTGTGATGGCCCTGCTTTGGCAACACCTGAAAACACTGCATGAGTGTTGTTATAATTCATTGCTGGGGAATATAGTGCACATGTACGGCTCCACTGAAAGGGCCTCGGAAGGTCAGGCCTCACTTCTGCCTGACCTTACCTGATCCATCCAGGTAAAGGTGATGCTTCACGAGAGTACAAGAAAACACTAGGTCTTCTAAGTCCTGGTGACGTGTTAAACCTAAGGAACAGTATTTGTCAGAGCCACGCCAACTGGAGGTAGGGGGTGAGGACATAAAATCTACTTACCATATGGAATTGCCTCACATTCTGTATAGACTAAAAAAAGCTCAAATCTCAAGGATAGTTGAGTTTGACCATTGTGCCAACTCCAAGTCAGTTAAAAAGAATTCTAAGCTTTTAATTATTATTTGATTCGAGACAGGGTTTTACTGTGTAACCTAGGCTGACTTTGAACTCAAAGCAGTTTTTATACAGTGAAGTGCTAAATTACTAACGTACAACAGTTACATTAGTAACTGTCAAATTTAACAGACTGTAGTCCTCTGTGCCTGCCTGTCTAGCATTTGGGTGTTGAAACCTGAAGACTGAAGAGAAGGCAATATTGACCTGTGCTTTCAAATGGTAAAAAGATATTTTTCTGGCTAAACATGGTTATTTCTTTGATGGTTTATGTTAAGAGTACAAGCCCTGAACTGGAGTCCTGAGTCCAAATAAGGACTATGAGCCTTAGTTTTACTACACACCATATGGCAGGCAGGTAAGAGTACTGTCTGTACTATAACTATATAAGTTTTTGGCATGTAATAATCAGTGACATTATTATAGAGGAAGAAGAATATGTTTGCTTTTAAATATCCATGGACACTACAGGCATTTCAGAAAGCTGCTGAAAGAGTAGTAGCTTGGAACAGGTATCTCCTTGAAAAAAAAATATGATAATGGAAGAAACATTTGAAGTTTATAAAGAATCTAGAAAAGATATAAGCTTTCAGCTACACAGATTTATTGAATGTAAAACTCTTTACACAAAGTAACCTGGACCTGCTGCCTCAAAACACGATCCTTTTCTAATATCCTGATAGACTGGTTACAAAGCAACTTAATCTAAAATAAATAGAAAAATGCCCAGTTACATCAGATGCAGGGCCTAACCAGTGAACTCTAATAGTTCTACAAGACAGTTAACAGGCAGGACCGAGCCTCAGAGAAGGGGTGCTGAAGAACGGACAGGAGGCGCTAGGAGGCCATCTTGTGTACTGCGACTGTGATGCTGTCATGCCTCTGGATCATGATGTTCCTGAAAGGCAAGGGGAGCGACATTCAGGAAAATGTTAACCACTGGGGCTTCACAGTAACACTGAAAGATGTCCAGCTTAAACCACAAATGCAATATATAAGTATGAGGGAACATTTGGAAAATACTAGCAAGTAAAATTATAAAGTATAATAATGAAATTAACTGTTAATCCTATGACTCACAGACAAACACCGTCACTATTTCCTATTCTTCTTTTGATTCTTGCAGTGTGGGCGATCCAGGTCCTCGCACAAGCAGTTTTTTTTAACCTACATCTATACATATTTTCTCTTATAAAACTGGGGCCATATTATCCTTAGTTTTGTAGTTTAATTTTTTAACTTAGTATTGTTCTGAAGACCCTCACTTTGAATATCATTATTTTTATTATTTTAGAAGTTTCTATTCTTTGATTAGTCTTTTGTGCCATTACTGTTCTTTCTCTTAGTAGACGGATAGATCATGACAATTACTCCTCATTGCATGCACCTGCACGCTGAAGGCGCGCCTTCGCTTCAGAGGCGAACCTATCTGCTTCTGCGGTCCAAAGGGTGAAGACTCTGACGAAGGAATCGGGGATGAGTACAGGGGACCCCAGCCAAGTTTCCCAGGGAGTTTTCTTAACAACAGTTAAAGGGTAGGGCCCTGACCTCTACTTACCCATTATCTGATTCTAGACACACCACAGGTATATCAGTGGGATCAGAGGTCAGTTTAGCTGCCTGCTGAGCCAGGACGGATATCACCCCAGCGTGCTCATCTGATAGCGTCCCTCGGCCTGAAAAAGATGAAATCGCTTGATTACCCCCAAATACACACAGAGGTGGGCCGGGGAGATGGCTCAGTGGAATAAGCACTTCCCTGGCTAGCGCAAGGGCCTGAGGTCGATCCCCGGTTCAGCCAAAAAATAAATACAGAGGTATAGAAGTATCTTCCAGGCAGGAGCTTGTGCTACTGAACTATCTCCCTTAAAACATTTTATTACTGTTTTTTTGTTTTTTTTGTGGCACTGGGGATTGAACTCAGGCCCGTGAGCTTGCCAGGGAAGCGCTTATTCTACTGAGCCATCTCCCCAGCCCCTGTTTGTTTTAATCTATAATTTATAACCAAATTTTGGTCCACAGGTACCAAAAGTAATCACTATATGGTAGACTCTGTAAATAAAGACAACAAAAGCTGAACTGTGCCCAAAATTAAGACATTTCACTGCAACCAAGCCTATAGATTCAATGTTGTTACATAAAATATTTTGTCTTTCCACTAGTGAGCCAGGCAAAAGCTTCAAAAAGTTAGGCTTTTTTTTTTCTGTAAATGACTGACTTGTAGTAATAACCGAGTTACAGATTACCTTTCCAGCAACAATTCAGAGCTTCAAAAATTCCTACATCAGGGATAAGAGGTTCTAGAATGACTAGCCCGACTTGGAAGGGTGCTTTATTTACCTTGCTGGACTTCCTTCCTCATCTGTAATCACACCATTTACTAAGCATTATGATCTGGGTTCTGTGCTGGCTCACAGGAGTGTGGCTCACACACAGTACATTTTCAGGTACAAATTATGGCTCAACCATTTACTAGCATAGGAGCCTGGGCACGTTAAGTACCAGATCTCAAGTCTTTTTACCACATGGGGTTGTTCTGAGGGATTAATGATAGAATATGTAAAAGCACTTTCAATGACTGGCACAAGAGTCTGATAAAGGTAACGCTGTAATTATTACCATTATTAAGCCAGAGAGGAAACTAAGGCCCTGAGAGTTTCTTTGGGCACAGGTTCACTTTCCTAGCAAATGAACAGGGAACTGAACTGCAATGTGTCCTACTCTAAAATCCATTTCCACTGCCTAATTTCCCGGAAAGAGTGGAAGAACTAACAGGTAGCACCACCCAACTTGCAGTTATTGTGAAAATTAGAGACATGTATGCAGAACCTGGCAGTCCCAGGACATGGAATGCATTCAATAAAATGGCAACAGCTATCATTATGTCCTTTGTCGACCCAATTCTAAACGATTCAAACACTATTTCAGTGGAGACCGCTGTTTTATATTAGCTCTACAAGGAACTTCTACCCTTTAAATGCCAATAAAAAGCTTCAATTTCTAATCTGGGAAACAATTTTTACTTACAAAAGTACTGAGAAAGTGGTAAGGCAGGGGCTGGTGAGATGGCTCAGTGGTCTAAAGCACCTACTTAGAACAAGCTTAGCAAAGCACAGGGAACGCGGTTCAAACCCCCAGCACCACATGCCAGCCAGCCCTGCCCCCTGGTGGGCTGAGCTGGCCACACACACACACACACACACAAAGTGGTAAGGCAACAACAACAACAACAAAAATGCTAGAGAAGAGTAGCCCAGCAGGCTCCAAGTTGATTTCTGATGGAGGCTGGTGTGAGACACTTACAACCCAGATTAAGTCCTTGTGAGTCTGTACACAGGACTCCGACAATGGAGGGATTCTTCATTCTAATTTGAGAACGGAGGAAAGAAGAAATATTAATGACTAGCAGGTACAGGCTTTCTATGTACCAGGCATTGCTTAAGTGCTTTATAATAGCGTTTTCCAACATTTTTTCTTTTTCTTTGGAGGTAAAGTCTCACTATGTAGTGTTGGCCTTGAACTCGTCATGTAGCAGAGTGGCCTGGAACTCACAGTAAGCCTCCTGCTGCTTCAGCCTCTTGAGTGCCGGGATTACAGGACTGCGCCACCATGCCTGGCCCAACTATTTTTCATTATCACCCCTCAAAGAAAAACTGTAACTAATTAAATCATTTTCTCTCTGATGATGGAAGAAGTTCTCAAATACTGTTCTGCTTTGAGGGCTGCAAACACAAGATTCAGTATTTTTATCACCCTTGTTCTGGACACATGCTTTACTATGCAAACTCTTTTAGAGCAACTGTTGGGGGTGGGCTGGGGAGATGGCTCAGTAGAATCAGTGCTTGCCTGGCAAGCAAAAGGGCCTGAGTTCACTCCCCGGTTCCTCCAACTGTTAGAAAAACTAAGGGAGCAGGGTGTAGTAGTATACACCTGTAATCAAAGTACTCTGGGAGGCTGAAACAGTAGAGTTGCAGGCTCAAGCCCAGCCTGGGAAATGTACAGACACTGTCTCAAAAAATAAGGGGCTAGGGACATAGGTCAGGGTGAAGGCCTCGGGTTCAATCTCGGTGTGAAAACAAAGTGACAGAAACTGGCGAGAGCTTTCTCCCAGCGTGGAAGTGACACACTGAGGGGCTGGTGGGAGAGTGGGGGCTCCCTGTACGCGTCATGCTTTTCAGATTTTGAATTTTCATAGATCTCAAAGTGTAGGGGCTACCTTTACCTCCCTAAGCACCAACCAGGTAGCTGAAGACACGAGTGTCTACACTGCAGGCTCGACCTGGTACACCCGGTACATCCTTCCCCAAAGTCGATGTTTCCCAAACTCTTGGGGAAACTACCCCGACTACAGCTGATTTCAACAGCGCTTCGGGCCGGCGGAATGGGTGCAGTCCTGCGAGATGCCAGGTCCAAGTCGCTCTGCAGATCGCGGCCGAGCCCAGCCGCGCACCCATCCCAAATGCTCGCCGCGCGCACTCTTTGTCTCGCTCAGTCTCCCACGCTGCGACCTCACGACCAGTCTGAGCGACCCGTATTACTCACGTGTCCTCCAAATGCTGCTCTAAAGTCGCCTCCATCCTGCCTGCGTCCACCCTACCCCGGACCCGGCCGCCCGGCGCGCCCCGCACAGCAGGCCTCGGTCACGTGACGTGAACGAGCAACGCACCGGACCGACGGCGTCTCCAGAGGGACTAAATTAATCGCCGCGCAGCAACCGCCTTCCCTTTTTTTGGAACCCGGAAAATATCCCTGCGCAGCGATCTTCCACAGCGCGAATATTGGGTTCTGCTGCCTGGCATTGACAGGGGAGATGGCAGCGCCTGGCTCCTCCGCGGAATCTGGCCGATCGGGTTACTCTTCACGGGAGAGAGGCCCACAACCGGGCCGCAGGGCCAGAATTCCGGCCTGGCACTTTATCTTTACAATTTTTAACCTTTGAATTTCAGTTCCAACGACTCTGAGGTCTAGGTAGGGCCAGGTCTTAGGTTTTTCAGTAAGCCGATGATTCAGGCAGGCTCTGATCCAGGAGGCAGAAGCACACAGAAGACCAAACCCCTGGGAAGCTGCAGGAAAGGGCCTGAGGGAGGGGACGGCGGAAGTTAAGAGTAATCCCAAACTGGGTGCTGGGAAAGCGTTAGGATTTTAGTAGGAGACATTGGTACTGTGTGCGGCAAAGGCTTAGCAAATTTGTGGGAAGAATGTTGCACTTAAGATCTAACTTGTAAAGACTGGTTAGGACTTCTTTTTTTTTCTTCCTTTTTTTTTTTTTTTTGTACCGGGCTTTGAATTTACGACCTTCCGCTTTCAGGCGGGCCCTGCACCGCTGAGCTATTTCCCCCGGGCAAGACTTCTTAAAAATAACGTCAACTTTTTTAAATAAAGAAAGGAAACTACCCATAGTGTCACTGTCCAGACAGGATTGTGAGTCCCTTGGACAATACCTTTTGCAAATAGTTTTCTTTGCAAATGTATACGTTCACTTTTTTAAATTGTTCTTTTTAAGCAAAGTTAACACACATACTGAATATATAATTCTATAACTGGGTTTTTCGCAGAATTTATTTTATTTATTTTATTTATTTATTTATTTATTTTTTGCAGAGCGGGGTTTGAACTCAGGTCCTTGTGCTTGCCAGGCAAGCACTTATTCAAGTGAGCTATCTCTCCAGCCCCTTCGCGGAATTTAAAATAAACATATTTCCATAACAGTTTTCACTCTTTCCCATGTGACAACTGTACTTTAATTGGTTTACCTGATCCATCATTAATGCCTGCTCAGGTTTCTTGTGGTATTTTCTTTTCTTTTTGTGTGTTTGTCTTGACTATTGCAGTGCTGGGTGAATATACTTATAGCAAATATCTGTGCAGTTTAAATTGTATGATGTTACCAGAAATAGTTACTGGGTCAAAATATTTGGTCATATATGTAAAATTTATCAGTACAAATTTGTAGTACATTATGTTTGCATTCATCATGGGGAGCGTTCAAAACACATCTTAATTCTTTTTATGCTCCCTTCTGTGTGGTCATTTTAAAGACTTGATATATACTGACAAATTGTCTCCAGAGAGGTGGTGCAGGCAGCGCTTTAGTCAATAGAAGCGCAGGACGTCAAAAGCTCACGCATCCCGCACATCCCTCCTGTGCCGAGTTTCCTTCTGCACTCAGCCTGTGAACACTTTGCTTTCTAATTGGGGTCGGGCTCCAAGGATTTTCAGGGCTTTAATTGAAGAGTCCCTCTTGACTACCAAACTGTCATAATGAAATTTGCAGAATCTCCAATATCCTTAAAATAGTAGTTTGTTGTAATTCGGGCATTTTGGGCTCATGCTCTAGAGAAATTATGTTAAATTTGAGGTAGCACATATGGGCCGTGCAGATTTTAGAAAAGCAATTTAAACAAAGATAGCATTGGAAGCTGGGCTTGTTGGTGCCCGCTGCAGAATTCTGGGAAGCTGAGGCGGGAAGACCACGAGCTCAAGGCCAGCCTGGACAGCACAGTGAGCCCGTGTCTCCAAAACAAAAAAAACAACACGAAACTGTAGGTATCGACTACTTCAAGCAAAGCTTGCCTCAGCTGTATGGGGGATTCAGCCTGCTTCCTCCCAGTCCTGCCTGAGGAGGTTGGGGTCTCATGCCGCCCCCTTGTGGTCCCATGCGGTAAGCCTCGCTGGGCCTGGGCTTCAGCTCCGATTTCCTTGCACCTCCAAAGCATTATCCAAACAGAGGTACAATGTGAGACACGCTGGTAATTTTTAAGTGTTATTACATTTTAAGAACATTTTATTTGCTTTGTGTTTTTGGCAGAACCGGGGATTGAACTCAGGCCCTTGTGCTTGCCAGGGAAGCGCTTATTCCACTGAGTCATCTCCCCGGCCCCTTGAACATTTTATTTGCTAAAGATATATGTAAAATATGTCAATGAACAAGCACTTCTCAGATGAAATAGAAACAGCAAATATATGAAAGAGTATTTAGCGTCACTAGTTGTAAGTGGAGAGAGAGAAAAAAGAATTCAGATATATCATGGACACATACAAATTCTATATGATGAACGTTATGTGTATCTAAAATATGCCAATAAAATTAATTAAAAATTATAATTTCAACATGTAATCAATACAACATACCAAGGTATTTTACATCTTTTTCTCCCATACCATCTCTAACACCCAGAGTACCAGCACCACCGGCAGCCCTCAGGAGGATCGTGAGTTCCAGGCCAGCCTGGGTAATATAGTGATTCAGAAAAGGAATTGAAAAAGACAGAATGGAAGGAAGCATATGGAAACAAAGCTTCTGTAAGTAGAGAGGAAAAGGAAGGAGAGTTGAAGGGAGAGGAAGGGAACAGGGAAAAAGAACTCAGGTATATTTCCTACAGGTGCAAATTTTCAGATGAATGTGAGCACTGTGGGTGGTAAATATGTACTAGTAAAGTTTTTTTCAAAAAATTAAGAGCTGGAGATACAGCTCAAAGCAAAGGCCCTGGCTTCAATCTCCAGTATAGTCAAACAAGCAAACAAACCCACCTTCATATATATTTTGCACTTACAGCACATTTCAGGGCAAACTAGCCACATCTGAAGTGCTGAAGAGTGACAGTGGCTCATGGCTACCATTTTGTCCAGTGTGGCTCCAGGACATCTCAGATCGCAAAGCAAAATCATTGATTAAAGGATTCTCAGGAAGTCTGGTTATCTTCCAAACTGGAAGGAAGGTCTTTGAAGGGAAAATGTAGGAAGAAGACTGAAGCTGGCCCAGAGAGCCTCAACATGTCAGAAGTGACCTGGAGCACAGGCTGTGGGATCCTGCCCCCTACTCCTCAGGCTGTCCTTTGCCCCTGAGCATGTAGGTGGAGAGAGAGGAGTAGCTCAGAGGAGCTGATCAGGTGCCCCTTCATACTCGGGGCTGAAACCAGGACTGACTCTCTCTCTCTCTCTCTCTCTCTCTCTCTCTCTCTCTCTCTCTCTCTCTCGGCAAGAGACAGGGTCCTGCTAAATTTCTCAGGTTGAACTCAAATGGGATCCTCTTGCCTCAGCCTCCCTCAGTGCTAGGATTACAGATATGTACCACTATGCCTCCAAATCCTTTTTTTTTTTTTTTTGAGACAGCATCTTGCTATATAGTCCAGGCTGGCCTTGAATTCACTCTGATTCTCTTGTCTCAGCCTCCCAAATACTGGGCTTATAGGTATGTGCCTTGCCCAGCTACTTTTAGTTTTGAATTCTGATAACTATTTCTGGGATGATAGGAAAAGGTCCGCATCATCCACATTACAGTTTGACTTCCTGTGTTCTAATTTTTACATGTTCACTTTTCAGATAGGAAGTAGGCCTCTTCCGTCTTGAATTCTGAGTACACAGAGCAAATAGGAACTCAGTACTCAGTAGTACTTAATGAGTCTCCATGACTTCTTGGGGGAAAAGGACCTAATCCTCGATCTTTTCAGAATCCTTCTGAGAGATCCATTTAAAAAGTGCAGGTCTGATAGTGGGTCCCACTCTAGTGCCCATTCAAGCTGTAGCAGAGGACGTGGTGGGTACAGGTGAGGTGGGGGCCGTCCTGCCTTCTCCTGATGGACCCAACCATCATGACCCCTGGGCCATCCACCCTGAGGTTTGGGGCTGTCTTTCAGACCCTGAGGATTGCAGGTGTTAAGGGGAATGAGCCCGTAGGAACCACCAGGGGGCACCAAGGCCTCAGAAAACCCTGCTCTGCGCAGGGGCTGGGGAGGTAAAGGCGCGGAGAGCGTTAGGCTGAGCGGCCAGGCTTAGTCTGTGGGCTCCGAGCCTGAGGGGTGCATCTGTGATTCGGGGTGCCTTCTCACCACATAGGAGACGACACTGTGTAAGGCAAGCTGGTGCGCTGTGGCTGTTAAGCCGAGTAGGAAAGCCCGTTTGCTCCCTTGCTTTGCCTGTCTAGGGCTGGGAAAATAACATGAGAACATCACAGTATAGGGGGGCGCGGTGCCACACCCTGGAATCCCAGCCACTGAGGCAGGAGGATCACAAGTTTGAGGCCGGCTAGGCAGTTAGCACTGTCTCAAACAAACAAACAAACACACACAAAATGGCCTAGGGATGTAGCTCAGGGTAAAAGCCGTAGGTTCAACCCCAGTGCTGCAAGAAAACAAAAGAAAATCCAACTCAATGACAGTAAGAGCCAAATGACAGCTCTAGAGATATACAGTTTGCTCGCAGTTTCCAGTTGGACTTCTGCGGACTCGACTGTTTCGCGGGTTTTCAAAAACTATTAATCTAAATTATTTATTGCAGATTTTTCACTAGATCGCAGGATTTTGCAGTACTGTACAGTATACGTTGTTAAAATGATGTAGGTTTACAAGTTTAGAAAATGGTTAAGAGTATTAGAAGGGTTTTTAAAAGTGTGGGAAAGGGTTGTAAGAGTGTGGGAAGGGCTTATAAAGCCCCAAAATGTATATAAATACTAAAATAAATATGCCATCACCACTTTGCTGATTTTTACTTATTGCGGGGGTGTCCCGAACGTACCCTCCACGATACGTGCGGGCCACCGTGTTAAGCAGTCTAGTCATGGAGAAGCCGAGATTTACATAGCTTCTCTATAAAACTGGCTTAAACAAAATAGTTGTTTTATTACAACTTTCCATAGTATCGCATAATGAAAGGCAAGTACACTGAGAAAATCGTCTCCTGAAACTCTAACCTTAGCGGACCTGACTTGCTAAGTAGGTGGGTGGGCTTGGATGAAGCGCGCGGCAAGTCGTGTCACAAGGACAGCCAGAGTGTGGCCAGCTACCGCCTTTCTCCCCATGCAAGCTGCAGCACAGGACCTGGTGGGGCCGGGTGAGGTGGCGGCCCGTCCTGCCCTCTCATAACGGACCCTGCCAGAGCTGAGTCCTAGGTCCCAAGCCCGACTCCTAATGAGAACGACACCAATATCTTCAGTAGCTTATTTGCATGTACTCACAACTGTTTGCCAGCAAACCCTCCTGAAGAATCTCTGTTTTATGGTGAGAAGCTCGGAGACCTAGAAGGTCACCCTGCTGGTAAGGGGTGGAGCCAAACCCTTAACTTCCCACAACACTGCCTTACTCTGTCCTCCCAGCAGCACACAATTCTAGAGCTGTGGGAGAAGGGGCCCTCGGAAGCTTAGCTCCAGGTCGCCTGTTCCTTCCTCAGAGAGGAATGCTGAGGCTCAGAGAGGGGAGATGGCTTGCGTAGAGTGAGCACTTCTGATTCTTAACGTTTTCTCCATCCTTGTTGTGTTGGCCGATATATTTCAGAGCTTTAGTTAAACCACCTTCAGAGGTACTCATGTGCTTTGTTGCTGTGGCTCCCCAAATTCAGACGTTGAAACCCTAATTCCTTATTTAGAGACAGGACCATGATGGCTGTAATCAAATTAAAAAGAGGTCACTAGGGTGCACTATGATTGGTGTCCCTTACAGAAAAGATTTGGACAAAAAGCCTTGTATAGTGGGGAGGTGATATAGGGAGATCCAGAGAGAGAGAGAGAGAGAGAGAGAGAGAGAGAGAGAGAGAGAGAGAGAGAGCCATGTATAAGCCAACCAGGGAGGCCTGGGACGATTTCTCCTATCATAGCCCCCAGAAGGAAACAATCCTGCGGATACCTTAAGTTTGGATTTCTCCCTGCTAGACTGGTAGGGCAAAAATTTCAATCAGATAAACCACCTAGTTTGTGTTAGTTTATTGTGGCAGGCTTTGAAAACCAGTATGTTTGTACATGTCTAAAAGTCTAGGGCTGGGGAGATGGCTCAGTGGAATAAATGCTTGCCTGGCAAGTGCAAGGGCCTGAGTTCAATCCCTGGTTCTGCAAAAAAAAAAAAAAAAAAAAGTCTAAAAGTCGAGGAGATCACAGATACATGGTAGCCCTTCCTCAGTAAAAGGACTGATTGGGAGGTCACCTCCCAGAGGCAAAAGGAGGATCTTTCCACCTTGTCTCCAGCCTGGGTATTTGGCTCTTTTTCTTTCATTGGACACCGGCCAAATGGGTGCTATGAGTTCCACTTGACTTCGACCTTCCCTAAGGTGTGTATCTCTGAGGCTGGCCTATATAAGATGCCCAGTAAATATGTATGGGTTCATGGCCCCTCTACTCCAAGCCCCTCCAGGCAGTAGGGTG